AAATTCAGAAATTCAGAAATTCAGAAATTCAGAAATTCAGAAATTCAGAAATTCAGAAATTCAGAAATTCAGAAATTCAGAAATTCAGAAATTCAGAAATTCAGTAATTCAGAAATTCAGAAATTCAGAAATTCAGAAATTCAGAAATTCAGAAATTCAGAAATTCAGAAATTCAGAAATTCAGAAATTCAGAAATTCAGGAGTTCAGAAATTCAGAAATTTAGAAATTCAGAAATTCAGAAGTTCAGAAATTCAGAAATTCAAATTTTCAGAAATTCAGAAATTCAAAAATTCAGAAATTCAGAAATTCAGAAATTCAGAAATTCAGAAATTCAGAAATTCAGAAATTCAGAAATTCAGAAATTCAGAAATTCAGAAATTCAAATTTTCAGAAATTCAGAAATTCAGAAATTCAGAAATTCAGAAATTCAGAAATTCAGAAATTCAGAAATTCAGAAATTCAGAAATTCAGAAATTCAGAAATTCAGAAATTCAGAAATTCAGAAATTCAGAAATTCAGAAATTCAGAAATTCAGAAATTCAGAAATTCAGAAATTCAAATTTTCAGAAATTCAGAAATTCAGAAATTCAGAAATTCAGAAATTCAGAAATTCAGAAATTCAGAAATTCAGAAATTCAGAAATTCAGAAATTCAGAAATTCAGAAATTCAGAAATTCAGAAATTCAGAAATTCAGAAATTCAGAAATTCAGAAATTCAGAAATTCAGAAATTCAGAAATTCAGAAATTCAGAAATTCAGAAATTCAGAAATTCAGAAATTCAGAAATTCAGAAATTCAGAAATTCAGAAATTTAGAAATTCAGAAATTCAGAAGTTCAGAAATTCAGAAATTCAGAAATTCAGAAATTCAGAAATTCAAAAATTCAGAAATTCAGAAATTCAGAAATTCAGAAATTCAGAAATTCAGAAATTCAGAAATTCAGAAATTCAGAAATTCAGAAATTCAGAAATTCAGAAATTCAGAAATTCCGCCTTATTTTCTAATTGTGACATGATTCAGTTAACTCTCTGAGGAAAAAATAGTACTTTAATGAAAATATTGAAGAATATAGCCTGAGAAGGCTGTATCCTTGACGTCTCTGTTTACCAGTGAAAGGAGGAAACACTTGAAAAAAAGAGGTAGGAAGTAACATATGTTCTTCAGCAGGAAAAATAAAGCCCGGTCGAACCCTTCAACTACTTTTAACAAACTTCTAATACAGAAAAAATAAGATAAATGCGTGCGCAAATTAGCCGAAAAAAAAAGCTGCGCAACAACGAAAAGAAAAGAATGAGGAAAAATGATGACTCCAGCTATGTCGCCTATCATACAGGCACCATTTCAGTGTAGCCGGTCCCCCAAACCTCCACGATACTCACACTCTCTCGCTCATTCAATTTCTCACATTTCTGCGGCCTCCCCTGTTTTTGTACTTTCTAATGGCACCGTTCGATGTCTCCAGCTATGGCGCCAATCATAAAGGCAGCATCTCAGTAGAGCCGGTCCCCCAAACCTCCACGATACTCACACTCTCTCGCTTATTCGATTTCTCACATTTCTGCGGTCTCCACTGTTGCCATACTATATAATGGCACTGTTCAATGCGCAACAGTATGGAATTGTTTTGAACGAAAAAACTGTCATAAAACTATGAGGTTGAATAATAAAAAAGAAATTTTTGTGATTCTAACACGGGGAGTTCTCTATTTGTTATCCGGGGATCGGGCTGTAAGATATGCTGAATAGTAGTACACAGGCTATCTAGAGCAACCACAAAATCATAGCCGCCTGTTTGAGGGACTGTTCATATGGCGAGAAATTTGATGATTTTTCGTGAATTTGTCGTCGGTCAAACTATCATAACTTTGTACGTGTTCACGGTAGACGTTCAAACTTTTTTTATTCAAAAGGTGATAAACGGATAAGCATTATTGTCGATTGCACCCATTCTTTATATTCAAAAGAAAAATCAGGAAAAAAGTTCAAAACATTTTAGGGGTACATGAATTGATCAATTGTTTTTAATTTGAAATAAGTCTCGTAACTCAAATGTTCGACCTACATTTTAACGCGTATACTTACGTTACCCGACCTCAGAAATCTGTTAGACATTGTCCCCGAGCACTTTTGTTTCCGAAAAAATTGGCATTTTTTGAATTCGTTAAAACTTGAAATTTTCATATTTTCCATACTTGTAAAATTCCGGGTCGCCCCGCCAAAGCCCGGGCCGGGCCTGAGGAAAATTTCAAGACCCGGTAGCAAACATTTTGTCATTTTGAACCGAATTTTGAGCTCTCATTACAATTTTCTATATTTTTTTTGTGCTTTTTGGATTGTTTGTCTGTTTGATCAAAACATATAAAAAAACTCGAAAAAAATTTTTTTATCGAAAAAAATCACATAAGGGTCAAAACTTGTGGAATGACAGGCCCGCCGGGTCTCCGAAATTCGGGACAAAGCCCGGCCCGGCTTGGCCCGGCCCGTTACAAGTATGATATTTTCTATTTTTCTGGTTTTTGACTAAGTTAGAAACATTGTGATAACATACACTTTACCTTTCAACAATTCAAAATACCGTAAACACTCTAATAAAACGCCAACCGGACTGTCCATTTTGAGGTTATATATCTTGCTCCTTTCAAGAGATATCAAAAAGTTGTTAACTGATAAAATGTTCACCATGATATCAGAAACATTTTATTAGTTATCCCCTTTTTGATATCTCTCACAGAAAATGAGATACACAAGCTCAAATTTGACGCCTCGGGCCATGTTCTAGAGTGTTTACAGTATCTTTCTCCGTTTCATTCTGTCTAAGTTTAGTGAAAATCATGACCTTCGGAACCGATTTTCTTAAAGTAATCCTTATTTTGAGTGGTTACTTGATTTATTAAACCGTTGCAGTCTTTCATCGAAACGACATTGACGGTTTGATTTCAGAAAAAAAGTTTTTTAGAAAATCTCAGATTTTGAGCTTTTCTGGAGGTGCTGGAGCTGGCAAAGTCAGGGAGCGGTAAAACTTACTGAAATATTTCTGAACCTTGAACTTTTTTAAAAAGAACTTTCATATCCTTTTTTAATCATCTATTTTTCCGAAAACAAAACCCCTATAATCTCTTTATTAAAATATGAACTTCAATGAAATTCAATTACCATTCATTTGACACGAAGCATTTGGGGAATATCTAGAAAGGGAAGGTTTTGAAAGAATAGAATTGAACCTTCACAAATTAATACATTTCTGGGGGGGGGGGGATCTAGGTGATGGGAGAATTTTTAATATCAACAATTATAAAACTTCGGAACGTAACCTTTTGGCTTGATCCATTGGAGAGTCTTCCAGGTGCCATCAGCCATCTTAATTCTTCCCAATGGCATGTTTTTGATCCGAGCGTTGACGATCTTATTTTCTGAAAGATGTTTTCGAATATTCTGTCTATTTTTTTCAATTATTACTTACCGCAAACTAGGAGATTCCCTTCGTCGGACCAATCTGAACAGAGTGGCTGGCTTGACAATGACGGAAGTGGTTTGCTTGACAAGCTTGACAATTGCTGCTTCTTAATCCACGGAAGCGTTTTCCAGCAGCCGTCCGGCATTCTTTTCCTCTTCAATGGAGCACCGATACAATTGTTGGCCACCAGAGTTTTGTTTTTTTCTGAAAGTGCGGTGTTTTTAGACGTTCGTCTTTTTTGTTATTATTACTTACCGCAAACTGGGCGATTCCCTTCGTCAGACAAATCTGATGAGAGCTGTTGGCGGTACACGCGGCGTTTCGAGCGCTGGATCATTAATAGCTTGCGAGAGGAGAGGCGATTTGGCGAGCGCTTTTCTGGCAATGGCTTTAATGGCAGGTGGCAATCAGGCGATGGCCGGCTAGAAAATGACGGAAGTGGTTTGCTCGAAAAGTGTTGGATTGGCGAGAGACAATCCGAAGAGCACAGGCTCATTAAGGGCTTTACTGGCGAGAAGCAAATCGACGGACGTTGAATGGTGTTGGACGAGGTCGGAGTTTCAACATATCCTTTTTGCTTAATCCACGGAAGCGTCTTCCAAGAGCCATCTGGCATTTTCTTTCTTCTCAATGGAGCACCGTACTTTTTTCTGTCGATCGCCGGATTGTTCTGTGCTGAAAGTATGTGGTTTTCGAGCATTCGTCTTTTTTGTTATGATTACTTACTTGGCGAACATCTTCATTGGGCAGACCTGACAAAAGATGCTGGCTTGCAAGAGACTCCGATGGCGAATGATGATTCGGCAAACAATTGGTCGATGATGGCTGAAGTGGAAGTGGCGTCAGAAAAGCTCTGGTCCGACAAGGGCTTTGTTGGAGACAGGACGTCCAAACAACAACAAAGCGCTGGACCAATTTTTTTCATCGGAGCAGCTAAACGAAGCCTTGATTGGCAAAAGCTGTTTGATGAATTATCGCTTGACGTGGTCTTCAGTGGCGAGAAGACGTCTGGCAAGCGCTGGACCTTCACTGGCGAGAACTCAAACATCGATAGTTCAGGTGAGAATGGCTTACATGGTGAGAGGCCAACAGGCGAAGGCTGGCCTGGCGAGCACTTGATTGGCGAGCAGTGATTTGAAGCTATGTTGCGGTCTGAAAATGCCTTGTTTTTGGAAATTATGTCTGTTTTGCTTCGACTACTTACCGGCAGTTTGGCAAAACTCATCTTTGGTCGTTCCTGGAGAGCGCTCGCTTGACGAGGCATCGATTTGCTTGACTATGTCCAGCAAACGTTCGTTCGATGAGATATTGATTGGCGACGGGACCTCCGAAAAGCACTGGATCGATGTTGCCTCTAGTGGCGAGAAATCGAATACCGAATGCTGGTTTTGGAGGCTTGACGTGGGCTGGTTTTCGGTGAGAGAATTTGGTGAATTCTGGCTTGCCAGGAATTTTGCTAAACACTGACTTGTCCAGGGAGCAATAGGGGAGAGGCGATTCGGAGCTCCGTATCGTTCTGAAAATGCATTGGTTTTGAAAATTTTGTCTGTTTCGTTTTGACTACTCACCGGCGATTTGAAGAATCTCATCGTCGAACATGTTTGAAAAGAGCTGGTTTGACGAGGGTTCCAGTGGCGAGATCATAGGCGATGTCATAGAACTATGAAACTAAATAATTATACTTTCTATACAAAAAAGAACACAAATACTCTCCGTCAGAATTTGAGAAAAAAACGAAATGAGTAGGAGGTCGGAAAATTACTTCTAGTGTGTCATCAACTTACACGGAAAAAGCGTAGGCGTAAGAAAATAGATAAATGATAAATGCGTGTGCAAAAACGGAAAATGAGAAAGGGAATGAAAAGAAATGATGCCTAGCACTCTAATCGTCAAAAAATTTAGCGGGTCCAAATAGGTAAGCTCTCAGTAGGGCAAGTTTACACCACGCTAATTCTCCACGTTGCGCGCACTCTCTTCTCTTTTCTCTGCGGCCTCCTGTTTTTCTATACTCACTCATGGTATTGTTCAATTACAAAAAAACAAAGGCTAATAATTCGGAGGGTACAACAATTTGGGGGGTACAAAGGGGTACC